AATGAACCCCAACATGGGCATGAGCGGCAGCATGGGAATGAACCCCAGTATGGGTATGGGCGGCAACATGGGAATGAATCCCAATGTGGGTATGGGCGACAACATGGGTATGAATTCTAATGAGGGTATGAACATGAATAGTGGTGATAATTTCATGCCGTCGCTAATGAACAAGAACAACAATAACGACAGCAGCAACGGCAGCACCAACATGACTTTCAACGACAACCCAATGCACAACAATTTTATACTCATGAAAAACTGTGACTACAATACGCGCATGAATGATATCGCTGAGTTATTACAGAGGGAATTTTTACGTCTGAAACATATTGAGCTCCTGCGTGGTGATCGCAATATGCCGACTGGTGAATTCATTGTCGAATTTCAAAATGAACGTGATGCCGAGATAGCCATACGCCAATTTAATAACTCGACGTTCCGGCAACGCAAACTACGCATACGTTCGATTAAACCGCAAGAGATCGCTGACCGCATTGGCAAACCTTTCATGAACTTTTATCCCGGCGGTGGCGGCGGCGGTTCAGGCGGACGTCCATTCGAAAGAAACCCATTTTCAGGCAATAGCAACAGCATGTCGCCGCTTAACGATGGACCGTCATCGTCGACGATGCCTTTTAGCAGCAGCGCTGGCGGACGCTATGGCGATAAAAACATGAACAACGACAGCAACAGCAGCAACAACAACAATAGCCGTGGAGGTGGTCCAATGATGAATCGCGGTGGCCGCGGTAACATTGGCAGTAGTGGTGGTGGTGGTGGTGGTGGCGCGGGTAGTGGTCGCAATGATCATATGGACAGTGGTGGTATGCGGCATCGAGGTGGTCGCCACAATAATAGTGCATCCAGCCGTGATAGTCATAATTCCGATCAGGAGGAGGATATTCAAACCATCGATGACAGCAGCAATGATGTTACCAGCGCTGACAATGGCCCTAGCGGTAATAATGGTGATGATAATGGCGGCATACCTGAAAAATTTGCGCGTCCCGGCTGTGTTGTTGCCATGGAGAATGTACCTTACAAGGCTGAGCTTAATGACATATTGAAATTTTTCGCTGGTTTCGATCTTACACCCGATGACATTATAAGGCGATTCAATGATGATGGTACAGCGACGGGTGATGCACGTGTGGCATTTGCAACACCATCAATGGCACGTACAGCATACAATTCACGACGAAGAAAACAGATTTTTAATCGGACCATACGTTTGTCGTTGCTTTAGGATAGTGTGTAGAAAGAAGAGGGTAGTTTTGGTTGTATATAGCGGGTGGGATCTACATATACATATGTACATATTTTAAGGTATTTAAAACATTCATACATATACGTATGTATTAACTTATATGTTTAGAATTTAGTTGAAGGGCGTCCTATTTGAGAATTCGTTTCAAAAACGCCCTATCTCAGCTGCCGATTCGGAAACGCCCTATATCAGCACATTTTCAATACATTTTGAAGTGAGATAGGGCGTTTTTAAACCGAATTCTGAGGTACGCCGGATCTTCCACTCAGCAGTCGATATCGTCCCCCTTATGCCAGAGGCATGGATGTGTAAATTTACCAATTTTGAGTTATTGGGTTGACTTGGATGTTTTATGTTACACCAAACCCCAGAATACTAGTTAAGTACTAGGTTAAGATCTTCATTTAGTTAATGTTTAAAATATTTGTATTTTGTAAATACGAAAATACGCTGTATGAATGAGTTGATATCCAGAGCTATCACTGAATCCATCGTAGTCAGATTTTTCGTGAAATCTACGAAAATGCGTTACGAACGTATGCATTCACAGTTCGTTCGTAGCTATTCGGATTCAGTGATCGCATTTTCGTGGATTTCCCGAAAATCGGAGTACGATAGATTCAACGATAGCCCAGATTATAATATTGGGAGTGGCATACCAAACTTTTCACACATTTTTATACATACATATACTTATATACTAAGCTATTTATATTGCATTTGAATAACAGATTTCATTTCTATTTTATTAAGACAGTTCAAAATCTACTTAGGACCGTTTTCGCGATGTAGAGTTAACTCTAATGTGGCTGTTAATTTTTGTACTTAAAATCGAGAGCTAACTGCCAAATAAGAGTTAACTATCCACTGTGAAAATGCATAAATTTATTTTTTTTTATGACAATGATGTTTTCATAGGGGTATTCCGACTCCTCTCAAGCTCTTAACTTTAATTTTCTTAAATTGATCATCTTAATAGTATCTTAAAAAAAAGGAATTATTAGAATAACACATACATACATACATATGTACATAGTACAATATTTTATATCACTTATTGCCACTTACGAATTATGTATGTACTTTAATATTTAGAGTTTTACACTTAAGTTCTATCTAATCGTAAATCACATAAAAAAAATCATACATACATACATACTTATGTAAATAAGTCATATATTCTCAGTGTTCCACATTAAGATTTTAATAAATAATAAATTGATACTATTTTACCATACACTTATTCGAAGTATCTAGTTGGAGTTTTATAGCCAGTTCAATGCTGACTTGGAGCAGCACCAAAAAATTGGAGGTACTACACTACTCAGAAATACGGCGTGTGGAAGACAGCACTCGTTTTTTTTTTTTTTTGTTTTAGCGGCGCTACTAAGCCCCGCCTAAGTCGGTTTGCCCATCAATCGTTGTCGTCAAGCTCAGCTAACGGTAGCCCCAGAAAACGAGGCGTTTCTACGGAGTTGGACCAGAGGGAGAAGGTGATATCGAGGTGGAGTATGCATAAATAGCTGTTTATGCGATTATCGCGTGGCAGTCGAACCTCTGCATGACAAAGATGAAGATATCGCGTGTGTTGTCAATTGCAAGCAAATTGGTATTCAGGGCGGTATTGTCACTTGCGAAGCGAATGAATTTGGCGAAGCGAACGGTTTGGCGAAGCGAATGGATTGGCGGACGCAACTTAAATATACATTAAGAGTGTTCTCTTTTACCAGCTTGTGCAAGTTCGTTGCATCGCGAACACTTTTAATACCTTCTCTTCCTTTTAATTCGCTTCGCCAAAATCATTCGCTTCGCAAGTGATAATACCACCCTTAGCTTCCTCTTCATCATCATTTTCAGCGTTGCTTCCACGCTGTTTTTAACTTAAACGCCGTTGATGACGTCGTTGGGTGCTATGGTTGCTCTATGTAAGTCTCTTCCTCAAACAAGGGCCTGTTGAGGTGCTCCCGTCTGTAGCACACCGCCAGAATCTGCTTGCATAGCGTAATGTTGTGCTCACTTACTGGGAGCATTTGGGTGTCGCTATGAAAGTGGTGTTCAGAAGCCACCTTGTGGCTGTCCGGAGTGCTGTGTTTTGAAACGTCTGTAGTTTCATACATTGCGTCCTGCTAGTCCCCGGCTATCACACGGCCGTCGCATAGTTTGGAACCGGTTGGAAATTGCTTTGTATGGTGCCAACAACATATCTTACGCACTGTTGCCGATTGCTCTAACGAAGATAGAAAGCCTTAACATATACGAGTAGCTTGGAGTGGCATACGGTGTTATACTATTTTCACAAATTCATCGCTGCTAGGGTTGTTCTCTTACAGTGTCGGTTTCGGTTAAAGCCACGGGTTATCTGAGTGTTTATTGCGTTAATTACTGCGGTGGTGGTGTACTCTTCATGGAAGACATGTGGATGCTTCGCTGGAGTCAGGTGATACGTGAAATAAGCAAGTAATGAGGCGTATTATGGAACGAATTTCCGTCATCCCTTGTCAAATTTGGTTTGGAGACAAACCGGTTTCGGCGTTGTGCCATCTTCAGTGTCATTTTTCGTTCCGTAATAAGGCCTCTAGTGTCTCCGCTACTGGGAAAGGAGAGTTACCTGCCGATAAGATTCCGTTTTTTTGGCAGGTTTTCCTGGTTTTAGCAGTGGAACCACTTTCCCCGATTTCCACACGACGTGAATGATACGTTCCGTCAGCTCTACTGGTTTTGTGTCCCTTTTAAGCCCTTAAACTCACACGATCTACGAATAAATCCAGCAAAGCAATTAATGATTTTTGGTGAACGTTGATATACTGATAATATGGTGGCAAGAACTGAAATCCGGTAAGTTAGTACTAGAACAGGGTACTGAAGGGTAAAAAACTTTTGTTACAAAAGAGTGTATTCTCTAAATATCGATATACAACATCTTAAAATCCGACAGTAAATGCCGAAGACATAATGGCGTAAAATGTAAAAAGGCAATACCTTCGTTCGGCAAAAAAAATTCGAATTGCGTTGCAAAAATACTTTAGGCTCAGGAAATAGAGGATTCTTTTCTAGAGAGCTGTCAATTAACCTGAAGTGGGTACAACTGACCTGTCCTCTTTGGAATCACCTCTGATCATGCTTAACATAGCATCTTTCAACATCGTTAGTGAGATTGCTGCAGCTAGAGCTGCAGTCAGACTTAGGGGCACCGGATGTTTAAAGGACTCAAGGTCTAGAGGTCTCTGATAACACGGATCACTACGTGACTAGGCTGGCACGAATTATCCCTTTTGCCACTCACACCTCTCTAGGGATGAGTTGATAGGGGATCTGGTTTACACGGCCAAATCGAAGCTTGACGAAAGGGTCGATGGACACGCCGTGAAACTCACCATCACTATTCAATTCAGGCTTTCAGACCACTTTATTGGTTTTAAGGCGGAGGTTGCTGGTATTAAGGAAGCAGCCGATTGGTTGCTGTTGGGCGCGCTGGATCGAAGGAAGGTTAACATTTACTCTAGACAGTCAGGCGGCAACCAAAGTCTAGGACTCACTTACGTTACGCTCAAAGCTTGTTGGATAATGCCTTAATTTGCATTCGATTGCGTGGAACTATTATCGTGTTAGACTTGTATGGGTGCTAGGCCACAGTGATATCGCAGGGAAATGTGCTGCGGACGAACTGACCAGAGACGGCACCCTCAAAGAAATACCGCCAAGAAAAGATAGAGTGGGAGCTTCCTTGATTACTTGTGTACTTTTATTGGAAAGATGAGACTCGGGTCAACTCAGCGAACGCTGGGAAAAAATCGAAGCTTGCGCTACTGCAAGGTCCTTCTTGTCGAGGTTGGACCGGGGACGATCTAGGTCTACTGATTGGCCACTGTACTATCGGCATTCACGCAAGCAGGGCTCGAATACGAGAAGAGCAGTACGTTCACGACTGTCACTCCGGCTTAGGCACTTGGGTTCGGACTTTCTGACTAGTCTCGCATCTACCGCCTGCAAAACTCCGTTCGCGATATGCTGCGTTTCTCGCTTTAATTTAGCAAGCTAATAGGAACTGCTTCGATTGCTCTTTCTCAGGCATTTGTGTTTTTTCGTGAAGGTGGCGCTTCGAGGTGGCAGCCTGGAGTCGTAGTTGATCTGGTTCCTGCGAAGTTATAAGGTGTCTCCACAGCGTATTGCTGTGCCACTGGAGCAGTTAGTTTCCCACTGGCCAATCGTCTTGTATGTCACGAGTAATGTTCCACATCCCAAGAGCTTCCGGGAAGCGAGTCGGCAAGATAGATACCACAAACTTTGTGGCATCATCCTCCTACAATGTGCTCCGTAAAGAGCGCGAGCGAGACAGCGCTCATCCTGGACCACACTGCAAAGTATCGTCTTATCGAAGGGACCTTAATTTAAAGATTCGACAACTGGTAAACCAACATAAACGGTAAAAGTGGGATAAGCATTTGAAGACCCACAACTTCGCCTCTGGTGTGACTAAGGTCTGGGCAACCGTGAGTTCTCTGGAAATCTTATTCGATGGTTACGCATTGTGGAACCCGAAAAAATGTGCGAGCTATTTTAGTCGGCAATTCACATTGCGCCCTTCCGCAGATAAATCCAAACGTCGAGCGACCAAAAGGCTGCACAAACTGCCCAAAAACAGGTGGCCATCGGGGAAAGCGTTCCGCAAAGTTTATGAGGAATCATTAACGTCCGGCGGGAGTAGTGTATCTCGCCAAGGTTGCCAATTTGTCAATAGCCACTCTCATCATTCCCGATGTGTGGATACCAGATAGAGTGGTCCCACTCCTAAACCAGGGAAACCAGCAAATAAAGAAGAGTCCTATCGACAGATAACGCTCCTTTCCCCGGTGGCGAAGACACTTGAGGCCTTACTACTCCCGCATTTCACGTACAACTTCACCCCAGCGAAGCATCAACATGACTACCGTAAAGTGCACCGCACAACAACAGCAATTAGCGCCATAAACACTCAAATGACTCGTCATTCCGCGCTTCTAGAAGATATTGAGACTTCCTCTCTCCCACGCGGACACAGGGTGGCAGGCGAATTATTTGAGTGGTTGGCAGTCCTCAGTAACCTTTTGGGATCAAATATAAAACCTACAAGAATTTATCAAAGAGTTCCAAAGGGTGATGTCCTCTCCTCCTTACTGTTTAACTTCTATATCTCGAATCTGCCACTGGAAAGAATTGATGACCTCTGCTCGAAAGTAAAGTATTCCAAATTTTCTCGCTTCTTCAATGCACGCAGACCTCTCCCCCATGAAATCGAACCATCTTCACCACCTCGATGAAGGAGATCAGACACTTACGTCAATGGCATACCACCCGAAAATTTAGGTGTTACCTCCACGATGCAGCGAAGCAAAGTTGGCGCCGTCCGACATACCGCTACTTTGGTTTTGCCGATTTTGACAATTCTGGTCTACAAGTAAACGACGCCTCAGAAACTTTAAATGTACTGAAATTCACTAATACTTGCACAAAAATCACTATTTTTTCACATTTTCCTTAGTCATTCTAATTGCAAATTATATATTTTTGCAATTTAGCGCAATAAAAATATGTTTAGTGTCGAAAAAGTTAATATTAAAAAAAATTTTATCATACATCAAGATAACCAACCGTTCAGTTACGGAAAAACTAAAAAAGCAAATCGATAGTACTTTTTACTCTGATTTCAGTTGTATACATAAATATTATTTTGCGCAATTGAAAAGTAAAGATATGAGGTTAAAAAAAAAATGTGTGATATTTTAAAATATTAATATTTTCTAAACTACGTAACCGATTAAAAAGGTAGTGATGTCAGAATAAGGACAACCAAGGCACATTAAACAGGTATTTTGTTGTTGCTTCTGGTATCGAAAGTGTCAACAACTGTTCTGAATTTTTTCTTCTAAATCAAAGCGTGCCATGTGAAATACAAAAAATTATAAAATATAAAAAATTGAAATTGGAAAAAATAAAAATTGATGCAACTTTCTTTCCTAGTAAATTTGTTTGCTTCTCGAAGCATTGATCCATCCTTTGCAAGGCCCAGTAATCAGCGGTCGTGCTGCCGAGTTGGGCGAACGTTCCAAAAGCTGCTATTCAATCGCTTGTTTTGTATGGAAAAGGTTTCACAAGCAAATGGATTTTAACAACTTATAATTTTCGTGAGAAAAAATTAAAAATATTTGACATTTTCGAGACCAAATAATTTGAAAATAAATCAAATCAGCTGCTCTACTGATACTACCTGTTCAATGTACCTTGAGGACAACTAATTTATCTTCAAGTTGATATATAAAATTTAAGCCAAAAATATTATTTAAGCCAAAAATATTAAAAAACAAAAAACAAATTTTAATTTTTTCATAAGATAACCTTTTTTGGAAAAAGTGCATAATCAATGCTAAAAAATTTGTATTATTTAGAAAGTGCAAGTTCTTGCCTTTAATTTGATATACATATTAGGAGTGTTCGCTATGCAAAAAATTTGTACAAGTTGCAAGAAGAGAGCACAATATTTTGACATTTCATTTGGAGGGGAACCCTGCAAAAATCGCGACTACTCCATGCATGCATGTAAAGAGTAATCCCTAAGGACCAAGGAATACTCCAAAATTAACCACAATTCATATAAAAAATATGGTCCATTTAACATTGCGATGTCCTAGGGCAGGACCATATACTCCATCTCTGCATTACATCAGAGTAGCACAAAACTACTCCTAACATACTCCAATGACATTGTCGTTATATTTTTTCATTTGTACACGCTTTTGTTCTTCACTTCGCAGATGCTTTTTTTGAAATGAATAAAAACCAAAAAACAAAAATTAAAAATTACATGTTGCCTCTGACGACATTCGAACCCGAACATGCTGGGAGCTAAGAAATAACAGCTAGCATCTCTACACGTTCTGCTACAGCCAGACATGCAAATGTACTTTCAAATGCTTAACTTCAATCACATTTCGTTAAAACACGAGCAGTGATCGGGTAACAATAAGCTGGTGCAGAGACACGAGTTGGTCCGCTACAGCATGACAGAGGAGCACTTTTGTAAGTACTCCAATATACCACAAATAGACTACATGGTCCAACGATTTTTGCAGGGAAGTTGCAAATTCGTGCTGGGAAAATTTTTGCCAGTAAGAATTTGCAAGCAGGATTGTGGCACACGGTTGCATTTTTGTCAACATTAATTTGAATCAACGAGTTCGTTAAATTTAAAAATGAACAATCTTGTTGCGATTTACTAATGAAAGAAGTATGTAAATATTCGTTTATTCAATTAATTTAATTAATTCCAAACATTTGAAAGGTACTCGGCTGAAAAAGCTGTATTCGTAATCGGAACGCACTCGACACCACTGTCGATATAGGAAATCCGACAGTGACTTCCACAAAGAAATTGAAGCGTATGTTGAAGAAAGTCAGAATAAGAAGAAATATACGTATAGGTCCTATTTTGGTTCTCACTTGAAATAATTTAAAAAAATAGTTGTGATCCCGTACGAGTCCGGACTGGTCAGAAATAGTCAGAATCAGTCAGATTTTACTGGAAATCGATCCCGTACTCGGTTCTCTGACTATTGAGAGGACAAAAATGAGAGTAAATACGGTTCTCTCTCTGTCAGAAGTTACCAGTTTTAGTCCGAGAATTTTTTGCTGGTAAATTCTGGTAAATCTGTCAAACGATCAGCTGTAGTGTGTTTGGCGACCAAATTGTAAACAAAAGAAAAGTGCACTCTGCTAATTCATGTTGAAAAGTATTTAATTACTTGTTTAAGTGGATTCTAATGAATTTGAAAATATTTTTGGTTTTTACACGTGTGAGCTGAGTGTGTTTGCATACAAAATAAGCAAAAATTTACAACCAAAATTTGGAGGTTATGTTGAAGTTGACAGAAGTTACCATTTTTTACTAGAAAGCGATCCCGTACTTTTCAATGTTACTCTCTCGCTCTGAGCGAATTTTTATTTTTTGACAGTTTTCTAGTCCGAGTCCGAGGAATACGGGATTGCACCTAATTTTTATGCTCGAAATGCAACCGTGGACGCCAGCTGGCAGTGAAGCTTGCTAATGTTTTCTAATTCCTGTTCGCGCAAAACTTAGTAAGTTCCTCTCTTTGGGAGAGTAAGGTTACTGGCTAATTCTTACTGGCAGTTGCATAGCGAACACTCCTATTTATATACCTGTAGAAAAATGGTTTTTTGCGTTTCTCGGTTCTTCGACCGTTGCTCTCTGTTGTGAGAGTTATTTTCCTTTTTGCCAGTTCTACTGGTTTTAGTCCAAAAATCGCTGGAACGCATCTACGATATCGTATTACTCGTCACGTAAACACATTTTTCATTTTTTACATACGTGAACGTACTCTTTATCCCATTCTGCTTATACGACTGACATATCATGTAATTTTCTTTCGTATGATTTTCGATCCGTGAACGGATGTTACGATTTGAGCCGTTTCAGAAATGAAAGTTGTAAGAGGTGGCTGCAACTCAGAGCGCGCAAATCGATTTCGGAAATATATTTCAACTTGCTTTTGCTGCACTGGCAGTCCAATGTGCAGGTGGTCCGAAGCGGAACCATTGGTTGCCAGCCAACGCAAGCCAAATTGCATGAGCAGCGTCAGAAATAAAAGTTGCATTCACCAAATTGAGCAAGTGGCCTAGCACTCTGACAAAAGAGCAGATGAGCTCAAGCATCGGCAGTTGTCAACAGCCATTGCTTGTGCTGATCTGCTCTTTCGCCAGACTGCCAGGCCACTTGCTCACTTTGGTGAATACCACTAATGTGTCTTCATTCCTACTCCCTTCTTATATCTCCTGGTAAGAAAACCTATCCGACATTACAAAAATAACAATAATAGATTTTATTCACAATAATCCCTCAAAATGAGAATTTAATTAAATATTAAATTCGCCTTGGTCCCCCACATACATAAATATGTAACTCAAACCCGTGATTCAGTGAATCATGACTCAAACCCACTCACACTTAAGCTATTGGTAGTTTTGCAACTGTACTATACTAGACTTTTTTAATTTCTCTCTACACAGCGGACATTCATCTCGTTCGTCTAGCCAATCCAATAAACAGTTCCAACAGAATAAATGACCACACGGTGTCAAGCTCGTATTAATGCGTGGCTCCAAACAAAGGATACACTGTGGCGCATCAGATTTTTTACGCTCCTCAATACCTTGATCTGTGCTGAGTAAAGGTCTTGTAGTGCCAGTAACTACTTCCTTTTGTTTTCTTCGATGTTCCTTCCATGCTTCATATGCGTTTATTACTAATGATAGGGTAACTTGTAAAAATGTTACAACACCAAGTAATTTGTAGCCGTATAAGGAAAAATCAGGCTGCAGCCAATGACGTATCAGCACATAATTTATGCCTGTGAAGCGCTTCGAAATTTGGTATTTATTAGAGCGTAGGTAGAAGAGCGACTTATGCAACGCTTTGATGTATTGTGGTGAGGAACGCATAACGTGGATTGCTGTTAGTAATTTCTGCTTTGCCTCTGGTACCATTTCATCGTTATCCCTAATGGATTTTTCCAATTTCTGTAAAATTCGCAAATACAAAGCATCTCCACCAAATTCAAATATAATGGAAACCAGCTGAAGCTATAAATGTTGCATAAAAAGTTGTAATTGTTTCAGGAGTTGTAAATTATTTGCTCAAAGTCAAGTGTTTACCAAACGTGACGGAATGTTCATGTAAGCGCTATCCACTTGAATAGTTCCTGTGTATTCCTCGCCAAGTGTTTGTAAATTATTAATTGAAGCAAATCCATGATACGTGATTTCAGCAAAGAGCTTACACAACTGATGATACTTTATCCAGCTACGCGACCCGGTCAAGCGAAGTAAATCCGAAAGATCTTCTGCAAGTTCATCCGTATACCTGGAATCCTTTTGCACGGACCGGACAATTTCTGGTTGGCGGGCTCGCGCATTTCTAAAATCCAAAGCAATTTGGCCACTGAATTTATGACGATGCAACATTTCACAAAAATCTACATAAAAGATTATACTGCTCTGTAAATAGACCAAAGTGCAGAAGTGATAACAACTATCAGTGAAATTACAGCTGATGTCTTTTTTTTGCGACTGAAATCAGAGAACTTAGATAGATAGAGAAGGTGCAAATTTTTGGAACGTAAAATTGTTTGGCTGAAAAATAAATCCATGGAATATCACCACAGCGCGATTAACATTTCAAGAAGAGTTAACAGAGAAAAATGTAAATTTCTGTTATGATAATGTTATATTTGTTGCAAGTGTCTGGCTATGTGTTGCTAGGTTGCATGTGAATGCAGAAACGTATTCATGTATATTTTTTTAATAAAATTAAATAAATTAATATAGTTAAATTATATTAAATGTACTTTTATATTAGTTAAAATTGCTGACTTGCATTTCTGCATGACCATTTGTTAAATATAATTTATTCAGTAGTTAATGTTGCTAAAAACTTAAAAAGCATCTGTTCAAGTTCGCTTCTTGTACGAGTATTATATTATGTAAATAGTAAAAATGCATGTTAGTTAAAAAAATGATAAAATTGGTTTTTTCACATACTCACTTTAAAGATGGACGCATTAACAAAAAAATGTATAAAGCAATGTGTTTGTTAACTTCAAAATTAATTTTCGAAGATATTGGCCAGGGAATGCTTTAACTCCAAAACGTAGATTTGTTATCTAATAAATAGGTGAAAGCTATGCAAATATGCAAACTCATTGGTGATTTGCCGTCGGCATTTGGGTCGCAAAAATCGTTTTTTTTTAACGATTCTTATTGTAGTTGCTACACTATTTTCAATGCAACAAATCCCAGTTTTCTAACTGCCTTAGTTTTTTCACAAACTCACTTTAAAGATGGACGCATTAATAAAAAAATTTACAAAGCATTTATTTTTAATAATTTCCTTTAAAACATAATTCAATCTATAACAGAAACCACAATAATAAAAGTTTAAAAGCTTGCACAAATTGCAAAATAATTAATCAAACTTCAAAAAATTGTTATAAAAATTTAAGAATTTTTAGTTAGAATATTTAGAAAATTTTCGGGTATGCAGCTTTGTAGTCCATTCAATCAAGTACACTAAAGTCCAAGTTTCTAGTCGTTAAAAATTACCGTTGATTTCTTAGAATTTTTTTTTGTGGAGGGTGTTCGCATTTTCTTCCATATAACACATGAACCCATTTTTTTTTGTATGAAAAATAAACAGCACCACCCCAACAAAAAAATCGAAAAAATCAACGGTAATTTTTAACAACTTGAAACTTGGACTTTAGTGTACTTGATTGAATGGACGACAAGGCTGCATACCCGAAAATTTTCTAAATATTCTAACTAAAAATTCTTAAATTTTTATAACAATTTTTTGAAGTTTGATTAATTATTGTGCAAATTGTGCAAGCTTTTAAACTTTTATTATTGCGGTTTCTGTTATAGATTGAATTATATTTTAAATGAATATCATTAAAAATAAATAAACATAATTTGTTGATGGCAGCTGAATGTATGTATGTATGTACTTACATATGTAAATATGTACCCCATACACATACTCCAAAATCATTTATTGATAACGTTCTTGCACCTGCACATAATATTACATATATGTAAGTACATACTAACTTTCTTCTTATTTGGTGCTGACAAACTTTAACTTAAGAGTCGACTTTATTTCGTTTACTAATATGCCCCAATAGTTTTGGAGTCAAATGAAAATGCATTTCCCACGCATATGTACATATATGTATCTATATGTACTACATGCTCCATTAATTGACAACGTTTTTGCATGCATATATAAGTACATCCATACATACGTGCATATTGCTGTCTAAGTACCACGCACATATATACAAATGTACATATGTACAACTCACGGCAGCATACATACACACATACATAATTACGCGCATATTCAAATACAACAATAACTATTTCATTCCTAAACGCATGCGCATATTTCTCAAGGCCAAGTAAATTCATTCATAAAAACAGCCGCAGCACATCTCCCCGCAAATTCATCACCAACAAGCGCAACTTTGTCAATCCGACACAAAAATTCTAAAATCTTAAAATGAAGAAATCTCGGCCAGCCAAGTGAAAAGTGGCAATTATTTCTCTATAACCAGTAAAATAAGTTATCTCGAATCTTGGCAATTTTTGGTAATTTTTGACAAAACACTCTATTTCTCTGTTCCATACCAATATTTCAATCATTAACTAGTATTTTAAAGTGTCATTTTAATAAACATTAAATAAAAGTGTACGTTTTCTGCAGGAAAATACATTATTTTTTTTAAATAAAATCAAAACTTCTAAAATCACAAACATATGTGGTTTTATCGGAAGTTCACAGATGTAACGTGGCAACTTAGCTCGTTTTCACATTTTTCGGTCCGAAATTGTAAAATTTTTGTCCATGACGCGCCACGATTTTTGTACAGGTGGGTCAATGTGCCTTGAACACCATTTACATATATACAAAAAAATTATTTTATTTATTTTTTAATATTAAAAATTTCTATACTTCAAAGCGTTTATAAAAGTATATTTACATATATGCACGGACGATTTTTAATATTTTTCATCCGTAAGCAAATCTTCAGAACCATAAAAGATTCAAACACATCAAAGTACAAGCAATGCAATGTCCAAGCTAGTGCTACTCCACTGTACATGTGTATATGAATGTATGCATGTATGCGTGTAAAAAATGTCAATTCCAGTTGGTTTTTAACCCTTATAGCGGACATAGTTTTTTTGGTTTCAGCTGGTTCCAACTGTTAATGAAGCACAATTTTTATGGTTAATCTTGATGAAAGTTACATGTATCGTCGAGAACATGGTTACATGCAGAATTTTAAATTAATTAATATTCTTCTCCATATAAAATGTACGAGTATGGCTTTATTAAATGTAAACTTATGCGAAAACCTAAATATTTCGTCAACCAAGGGTTAATTTTGGTGGCGTCGTGGCAATTCGCAGAAATTTAATAATTTGTCTGTGGTTGGTGGACGGCGAGGGGAAGACGAAAGCAGAACAATCGTACATATTTATGCACATATATACATTTATAAATGCACACATGTTTATGCGTTTGTCTTCTTGGACGAATGAAAAATTTCATATATGTAGTGATTTAGAGATTGTCGTTTCAGTAATGTGCCGTGGCGTGTACGCTAGAGGCGATGCAACTTTTTGGCGTCTCGCCGTTTGTCTTGGTTCAAATCCCGGACGGACCAAGTAATAAATTTAATTTTTTTTTTTAATTGTCATATCTATATTCGATTTTAAATTTTACTATTAGCTTTATTTAAAATAATATAAATGGATATGTAGGTACAAACGCATGCATAATTTCACATAATCGCTCAAATTTGCCAAAAGTTACTGAAAGCTTTATTGTAAATGTTTTCACTAAAATATTAGTTATTGGAATTAAAATTTTATGCGAATCCAATTTTTATTCCCATTTTTAGAAAGCGCAAGTATGTATATGTTCGTGCCACAAAAATTATTTCATAAGTAGTTAATTTTAAACACAAATATGTATGTACACTGGCAAAGTGAGTGCATTCTGTTTTTTGTTTAATATTTGCAATGTTTTTAAGTTAAACTTTTATGTTATTTTCGACGGTAATTGCGGTTTTATGCATATAGCAAGTGCAATTTGTAAAAAAATAGCGATAATTTTTTTTTATTTGTTTGCAAACGGTCATGCGCATTTTATTCTACAAGAAATTCCCTTTTATTTGGTAAAAAGTGCAAAAAGCCGTCAGCAATAAAAAATCATTAAAAATCAACCCAATTTTTTAGCCGCTTAAAACTTGATCTGGTTCCACTAGAATTAAAAAAACAATCTATCTGCGTACTCAAAATTTTTCTAAAAACTCTGATTAAACAGGTCAAAATTTAGACGAGAATTCGTTGAATTTTTCTATGTTCTGTGTAAAGTTTGAAAGTTTGACTGCATAATTAAAGCATGAACCACATTTTTATAAAAAGATAATAAAAAAAATTTTATTGAAAAACATTGCAAATATTAAGCAAAAAACACCATGCACTCACTTTTGATTGCCAGTATATGTATGCATGTACATATGTGTGTAAACTTTATGCCAAACTATCATTATTTTAAATTGTATTTGCATCTTCATAAAAGGAGAACAAGATAAAAAATTTAACAAAAATTACAAATTAATGAAAATTATGTGAAGATTTACCATATTTTCGTTTATTTGCACACAAAGAACATCACATTTCATGTTGCTCAACATTGTATTATGTTATCAACATTAAATTCAACAGAATTTTTACATTCCGACTTGAACTTTTCT